ATTAATATTTTGGATATATTTATGCCAAAATTACAAAATCTTTGTATACCCAAATAAACCCACAAAGGGCCCATGTGTGCCCTATATGTACAGGTTTGCTGGGCTTCCCACATACATCCCACTATAAACTTTCCTAGGCAGCCCAACAGGGCCCCAGTATCAGCCCGTTTACTAGCCCACTTAGAGCCCATGCCCACGTGGAACCCGACCAGCCCACTTTAAACCCGTGTTGGCCCCACAAGGGCGTGTTAGCTGGGAAGTGTTAACCACAAGACGAGAAACACTAAATGAGACTTTTTTTTGTAAATCTTGACACCTTCAGTGTGCGACATGCATGTGAATGAAGTGATGGTTCTTACTCTGCAGTTATGCGTTTCCTCACAGCCGCTGTTGCAGACACTATGACGAGGCTATGGTGCAAAGAGTCACGATAACGATCAACGCTCCAGTTCCTCATCTTCTCTGCTGAAAAGCTTCGCAATTTTCCTGCTAAAAATATGAGAAAATGCCGAATTTACGAATGAAAACACAGAATTGGATAGTTAGTTATGCAAAGAATGATGAATTAAGATCTTTTTAAATCATTTAGCCTACTTATTTAACGGACGCTTTAATGCAAAGTACATTTGAGAAAGTTTTGAGAAAGCCAGTGAGTCAGCCAGTCCCTGGAGCAATTCTGGTTAAGGGTCCCTACAGTGAGATCACGCTGCCCACCACGGGATTCGAACCAGAAACCTTCCGGTCACTCACAGGCATAAAGTGTCAATCCGCATAGACAGTACAGTGGATTATTATTATTTTTACTGCTAAAAAGAACTTCATATAACTACATTTGTCGGTGAAAAACGTCACGTCTCCTTTAAGTGGGCCACTCTCTAGTTCGGTAACTACAGGTAACCTACAGAGGTGTGGCAGCGTACGTATCCCGTCGGGGCTTCCAGGTTGCGGGAGGGCGTTACTGGGCATGCGTAAAGCAGCACCTGAGCTCTGTAATGATTACGGAGCGAGACGGGCGCGCGCAGGGAGGGAGAAGGAGATTATCTGCGCGCGACTCCGCTCTCTTAATCCACGCCGAGCAGATAGACTTTGTAAAACTACCAGGATGAAACGAAGCAGCCATATTGTATGGACATTACTTGGGAAATCAGTATTTCAAACTTAGTAAATTCATTAGTTACGGGAATACGGGCCTTGGATTGAATTAGAAAAAATCATATTGCTTCTACTCAAGATACCCTTTTAAAATATTGTCGCAGTAAGTCTGAGTCCTGCTTGCTTTTTTAGTTATTTATTGTTAGATTGTTCTTTAAATTGTTGACGCGATTGCGAAGTTATCAGAAATGAAAGACAGACTGGAACAACTTAAGGCGGTAAGTACCACTGTCTTTAATTCCCCAGTCAAGTTGTCTGTTAAAGTTGATTATAAAGGTCAAGTTTAATAGTGAAAATGTTACGAAAAACATTAAATATCTCCTTGTTTGTATTGTGCTTTTGTGGATAACTGGTAGAAATCATCAAACTGACACAAACAGTTTTTTTTTTTTTTTTTTTTGCTTCTTCAGTCACACTTTAGAATTAATGGCTGAAAACAGACCGTCTGGGGGCAGGTATCGGAACGGCTCTGTTTGCGTAACTTGCTTAAAATTAGTCTAGTACTTGTTAATGGCAGAGTACGTGTCGAAGTAGCTGTTAACACATAAGCAGTCAAACCAAACAACATATATTTCCTTGTGATGTTTCAGTAGGTTATTTAACTACGTGGATATCCTTGAATGTTTTGCATCATACAACTGTTATTTAATCAGGTCAATTATACATGTTTTCCCTTATGTACATGCCTCGATTTTACTGTTTTGTCTTCTTATGTCATGTTTATGTGTCTTATATATTTATTCCGTCTTGACAAATGAGAAAAGAAACTTTCTCAATGTATGGCCCATGCATCGTAAACCTGGCATGGCAATAAAAATATTCGGACTTGATTAACTGGAGACAGATTGTAAGAGTTCAGTTGCCTTAGTTTGCCACAGCCCGTTAATATGCTTTGTGTTGGATTCGTCGTGATCCTAAAGGCTCCCTATCGGTTCCTGATCGATGATAAACTCCTCTTATCGGTGGTCCCTGTCCGCTGTTCGCGCATCACCGCCCCCACCTATAGCCGCTGGATGACCTGGCGGATGCGTGACTGTCAGCTGCTTCAGGAGCAATTCCGGGGGGCGTGGTGGGGGCCCACAGACCTGATGACCGGTGCATGAATCATTTCAGAAATGCCTGTGCTTTTTATTATAGCACGTGAGTCCTGCAATCAGCTTTTTTTTTTTACCCCTTAATTCAGGGCGTTTTGACACTCTTGAGCCATGTTGTCGTTATTTTTGCACTTCCTCTAGACCCGTTTCCTGATGTAAATACTACACTTTCCGTAAATTGTCAGCCTTTCTTAATACGGCGTTATATCACGTCGTTGGAAGGTATTCGGGTATCGGTAGACCTGAAAAAGTTCTGGATGGTATTGTGTTAGACCATGTATTGACGTGGAACAAGTTGTTTGATTAGTTCCTATTTGGTTCGAGCACAGGTATTATGTAGCAGGTTAGGTGTTAAAAGGGGCACATTTGGACAGTAAAACAGGGCAGAGAGTAGCCAGTAGCGCGGAATACTGACTGTTTGTTTTGATTTTGAAGCCATTGTGATTAGGGTTTGAATGCGAGTCTGATGTTTGGCTGAAACTGGTTTCAGCACAGTGTTTAACATGCAACATGATGACCAGCCCTACAGGTTTGCCCTTCCCTACCCTCTCTAATGTTTAACCAGCGGGGCCTTTTTCCATAGATTTTGCTGGTTTCAGCAGATGGTGAGAGATACCATTAAAAAGGAGCTAATTTGTTTTACTCCCTGTAATACCTGATTTTCCGGTCCCTTCCATAAAGATATCTGTGGTATTTTACTTCTCTTTCCAGCTTTTAATTAACACTTAATGGTGACTGAGTTGCTGATTGGGTCATCGCCACCATCTTGACGTTTATGAATTTTATGAATATTTGCAATTGTATTTGTATCAGTGGTAATGTTTTGTACTGTATTTTTGTCATTTGCAATTACAATTACAAGACAATGTCAATGGTAACTGATGACCTAATATTCTGCCCTAAGCAATGTACCATTTATAATCATCAAAATGGGACTACATCCAGATTTTAATAGTTCATATTCAGTCTAAGAAGCATACAACTTCTAAAGATTAGAGCTGAGAAAGCAGCTGAACATATGTGCTTTCGCAGGCTTTCAGCAACGAAGTCAACAGCATGATTAGATAAATCCGTGTAAATGTGTTGACCCTCCATGTGAGTGTACGTGCGTTGGCTGTTACTAGTGTTTTTAAAGTTCAGCATCTTAGCTTTTCAGAGCTTGCCTATAGCTGCTCCTATTTTATATGAATTCTTGAACAGTTTGTTGTTGCCTTTGGGTTGGGTGGTTTGACGGCTGATTTTGTGAGGGACGCCCCGGCTGTGTACGTACAGAGAGAGGAGAAGAAGAGATTAACGTCAGCAGAGTTGTGCAGATCTTGGCTTTGACATGCCTCCATTGTTAAACATATCAGGTTAATGGTGTGTGTGTGTAGGAAAAAGGAGATTTCTGGAAGGACAACCATAAAGCAGGAAGAGGCTGATATTTACTGAAAAAACAGGCAATACTTTGCAGAACGTCGAAAAAATGATAAATGAAGTTAAGGGGAACTGATCAGAATGAGAAGACAAGAGAGTAAGGGCTGATTCATACGTCACGTTGCGTACTTGCTACGTCATTTTACCGAGGACAAAGAGCTTGCATATGCACACTGTGTTGAGATGCACGTACACTGTCTGTGCGGATGCAAATTTGGAGTGCGGCATGCGTTCATCCGTGAAGGTGCACGATATCGTACAATGCATCATATGACGCGCGTGGAGAAGCATGAACCAACCTTAAACACAGCTGCACTGTTAATGAATAGTTGAGCGGAAGATCTTTGAATATGTGTCTCTGTCAGACCTTCAAACAGCTGCATAAAATGAGCAGTAAATTGGCAAATCTGATAGGAGAGATATGAAGAAGGAAATGTTGAAACAATGGTTTCCCCCTCTAGAAGTGGGTCTCCAGTAACGGCCTTCAACTGTTTCTCACATGATAAAAAAGCAATAAAAACATTTTCTTGGCATTTAAGCTGAGTGAAACCTGACACGTCGATTTGGTTCACTTTGATCTACTTTGCATTGTGGTCTTGTTTTTCCTGAGGGACACCACGTGTGATTTAGACTGCCTTAGTAGAACAAGTTTTTAGCTGTGTGAAATGATTAAAATAGCCATGGTTTGTCAGTCTGAGGGACTTTTCATATTTGTGTTCAGATAAATGGGGTCTTTTAGCGATGGATGCAGTAGTGCAGCCTCTCATCTGCTAGGTGTGAGGCAGCCAGTGACGTTGCAGTAGTGCAGCCTCTCATCTGCTAGGTGTGAGGCAGCCAGTGACGTTGCAGTAGTGCAGCCTCTCATCTGCTAGGTGTGAGGCAGCCAGTGACGTTCATTAGGCTGTAATGTCCAGGATGGTTGAGAAGACCGTTTTCATTCAAACATGGTAGATTTTTCTCATTCAGTTTTATCTGTATTTAGGACAAGGGCCTCCTCTCTTGCAATGAACCATAAAGCTGGTTGTAACTATTTAGTTGTTAATGGGCGTCTTTTTGGTCTTCTGCATGCCTGCTAGCATATCTGTTTTTGGTTTGTATGACAGTTAGGATGCAGGAAGTCATGTCATTATTTTAGTGACATGAAAGTGTAAGAGAGAAACTCATTTCCAAAGGTGCATTATCAGGCAAGATGATTTAGATCCTTATTGAAGCTAAGTGACTTTCTTTTTACTTTTCGTTCAGACTGTGAACTTTTTTCACCAGACTCTCTCTCTGTCTTAAACTAACACAGTCATTAGTCCTCTGTTTGGAACCCCTGCTTCTGCAGTTGTGGACGTGTAAGAAGCAGCACCAACGATTTCATGGTTACCTGCTCAGTGTTCTGCAGACCGTCCAACCTCCAGAACCAGTTTACCTGCCTGTGGGGAACTCCCCATGGTAGCATAGGTGACGTAATGAGATTAACCTGCATGATCAGATGTGAAACTGGAGCTGTTTATGGGGGGGGTGGGGGGTGGATTAATGTAATGGGCCCCCATCTCTCACCACAAATGTTTCCTCTTTCGTTTCCCACGTCTTCTCCTTCAGGCACGTCTTTGAAGTACTCAGCACATCACAGATGATATTCAACTATTGAAATATCAGCGTTTTGAAAGTGCCTTGTCAGTGACGCGTGGCTCTATGCCGTAGCTGAGAGGTGGTGTACGAGAAAGGGAGAGACTGTGACCGTCTGATGGTATTTGGTTGTGCCCAGTGTGATAGTCTCTTTAAGTTGGCTTGATACTGCTTGTGGCTAAATGTACATTTGTCCAAGTGAAATTTCTTGTAGTGCATCAATGCACACATATAAAAAAAGAGTGAAATTAACATAATTGATTCTGTTCCTAAAAAGTGCTGCTCAGCTTCCTGCTACGGCGGTAAGGATGGTGTGGACCAGACGCTGCTCATGGCTAAGCTTTTGTGTTTGTTCCCGCAGACATGTGACACGGATGATGTTGAAGATGTGGAAATTGCTGTGGACAATCCAGCCTTTATGGATGAGTTCTTTGATCAGGTAGTACCCTGAAATATTGTCAGTGTTCATAAAACCACATTTTTATAACCCATGATTCTACTTTACGAGGGATGATGTGATTGGTGGATGAAGAGAATTGGGGTTTTTTGTTTTTTTTTGGGTGGGCGGGATGATTGAAGCATTCAAAAAATTGGCCACAGACTTAAATGTCAGCCACTCCTGCCTCACGCCCTAGCAAATGGCTTTTATGTCAGGACTGCTTCTTGTGAGCATGTTGTAATGTCGGTCCTTTGTGCGGTGGTTAGGTGTGCCAGTGACGTGATGCAGAAATGTCTCTGTTTCCGCGTGCGTCTCTTTTGAGCCTTTGCCTCTCTCCCCTCAAACCAGATTGATGAGATTCGCACCAACATCGAAAAGATGGAAGGGAGTGTGACTGAAGCCAAGAGACTCTACTCGCTCATCCTGTCCGCTCCCACCTCAGACCAGAGTCAGTATGCAGCATGTTGGCCCCTATAACAGACTCTCTCTCTCTTTTTCTCTCTCTCACTCTGTACATCTCCCAGTGCCTGAAATATAACCGATTTGCAGTATTTACATTTCTGTCCATATTTATATCTTGAATTCTGTGTGTGTGTGTCCCCCCACCCCCAGAAACTCAAGATGACTTGGAGGCCATCACTAACAATATCAAGAAAAGGGCTCGAAGCACTCACAGCAAACTTAAGAGTATGTTCAGAGACTCATTTTTATACATAAATAAGTACAGTTTCAATGACTTTCTGTAGTTGCTATAGAAGTGGTAATTGCAAAACATTTGATGCTTGGGTAATGACCTTTTTTAATTTTTGGCAGGTATCGAGCAGAACCTGCTGAGAGAAGAGGAGAGGGCTTCCACAGACATGCGCATCCGTAAATCACAGGTAACGCAGGAGCGCAGCAGGGCAGACGCCGTAGATAACGCAATAAGGCTCATATCGTCTTTCTTTGGCGTCCCCAGCATTCTGTCCTGTCCAGAAAATTTGTGGAGGTGATGACCAAGTACAACGAGGCCCAGGTGGACTTCCGGGAGAGGAGTAAAGGGCGGATTCAGCGACAGCTGGAAATCAGTGAGTCTCCATTACCGCCTGGTCACATTGTATCTCTCATCCCCCTCATAGCCACTGTAATTATTGTAAAGCTGTCACTGTGTTGTTTGAAACCTCAAACGAATTATCTAGCATTTTGCTAATTATGCTAACAGTGTGCTTCTTTATTTTATTTAAAAATGCTTAGTCTGTTCTCATTCGAAATCAACTCTTGCTGCGTCCTTAAAATCCGAGTCTTTGCTGCCGTTTGCCCACCCTTGATGACACGCCAGCTGAAGGCAATATCAGTTAAATGTAGTTCGTTCCCAGTTAGTCGAGGTGACTGGTTCTGGTGACTGGTTCTGATGGTGTTACGGGTGATGGTGCGAACGACCCCTTTCTTTGTGAGTTTCGGTCTTTGCGAGCATCACGCATCGGCATCTGTTCAGAAATAACCGGTCCTCCTTTTCCTTCATCTAGCTGGCAAAACTACAACCGACGAGGAGCTGGAGGAGATGCTGGAGAGTGGGAACGCAGCCGTTTTCACAGCAGGGGTAAAGCGGGCCCGCCGTGCTGGGTGTGCATGCGCATTGCAGGGCGTGCCCCCCCCCCCCGTTGACCTTGGCCTCTGCGCAGATCGTGGACTCTGGCATCTCGAAGCAAGCGCTGAGTGAGATCGAGGCTCGGCACAAAGACATCGTGAAGCTGGAGAGCAGCATCCGGGAGCTGCATGAGATGTTCGTGGACATCGCCATGCTGGTTGAGAACCAGGTAGCGACAGAGGCTGGATGCCCCCCCCCCACGCCTGTCTCTGTCGCCACCTTGAGCCCTGACACCAGAAGCCTCAATGAGATTTACAGCCTTTATATTTTCTGTAAAGTATTGATCTGCATCTGTAATCTGAGCTTCTCTTTATCAACAATCTAATGCCGCCTGTGGATGCTGCCATTGAGGTAGGAGTCTTCATTACGATTCTGTTACCGGTTCTGTCTCGTCAGTCAGCCAGAGTGAGTGTGACTGTTGGCCACCCTCACCCTGTTGATGAATCTGACCCAAGCCCATATCTCCTGTGTTCCAGGGTGAAATCGTAGACAACATCGAGGTCCACGTGTCCAAAGCGGTCGATCATATAGCGGTGGCCAAGATCGAAACCAAAAAAGCCGTCAGGTACCAGAAGAAGTCCCGCAAGGTAGCTCGCTCCAGCCAGCCCCGTCCTGTCCCTTGTGCTCCTGCACCCTGCGGCCTGGTGGCCCGGGTTTGGTATTTGAGTGACAGATGTTTAAGCCTTGTGTCTTTGCGACACTCTGTCCCGTTACTTCTGTCCCTCTTCTTCGCTGTTTCCACCCTCTTTAAAAAATTGTATTTATCCTCACGCTTGACTCCACCGATTCTGGTCAGGGTGGCATGATTGACAGGATTGAGAACAATATGGACCAATCGGTGGGTTTGGTAGAGCAGGCACTGCCAGACACTAAGACAGCTGAGGCCCATTGGGTGAGTGGTAATAGGTGGTGACACCCCCGTGCCCCACTGTAACCGCAATGATCCCAAACCCGATTTCCCATCATCCCTCGGATTCAGTAATGCCTGTACAAAGCACTAACTCACTTCAGCCTAATTGTCATTATAGTGTAAATACAAAAGTATCTAATTAACCAGAAAGGGGCCAATTAGAAATATGAACATTACACGATGCACTTGGTTCTTAAAAACCAATCTCAAATGAAAACAATTCTTCATAACATTTACACAGCTTGGATATTCACACTTGAATGAGATCCATATGGACTAGTTCATACACGCATTACTGCCTAAATGCTAGAATGTTTCATTAATGTTAAGAATTGGTCGTAGACCGCCTTTGTGGTAGGTAAGCAAAATACCAGACACACACACCCAGTGCTGTGCCTCTCGCAATACTGCGGTGCACCATGATCAGGCCGATGTACTGACTGTTCGAACAAAGGGGTGTACATTTTATTCCTGTAAGCCCAGCATGACTTAACTACATGTAACCTCTGTTTCAGTAACTACCAGCCTGTTTTTGTAGCGATCATGAGTGTAAGCATTAATCTCTCTCCCCCTTTCATGACATTCTTCCCTTATCGAGAGCCTCAGTGTTTCTGTCAGTCCTCATTCTGACTCGCCATGCAAGTCAATAAATAGACTGAACCAGACGGCATCTACTGGAAAACCTGACCGTGTCCTTTGGCAAAGGAGAGCTCCTCTCACCCGTCGCCCAAGTGCATGGTCACACACGCGCACACTCTTTTCTTTCCATTTTCCCTCTTTTTTTTTTTTTTTCTTTTTTTTTCTTTCTTCTTCACCTTTCATCTCTACTGCCCGTGGTTATTTTATAGTCGGACTCACTGCTCTGATGTTTGGAGCCCCTGCTGATTTTTTTGGACTAGCCGGAGTTTTGGGGGTCTGAAGGCGTGTCCAGCAGAGGTGCTCCAGGCAGATCACGGAGTTTGTCTGTCGTTGTGACATCGTGACGTTAATCTGTGTTGCTATGGTGACATATGTGTAAGTGTCTGTAGATCTGGGGAGGAAGATAAAAAAAAAAAAAAAAAATTAAAAAGACGAGGCATGTGGTATTTCCATGGCTGAATAATTTGGGGGGGAGGGGGGTATATGGGGCAGTAGATCTGAACAGCCATGTCTTCGATTGGGTGGGCAGTTAGCCTGTCCTGAGGTTTTGTCTGAGGCATTATGGGAAAGGGGGCTGTGGCAAGGAACTGCTAGAATAGCAATGACCTTGTGCAAATAAGAAATGTGAGGGAGTAGCTTAATTCTGCATGCTGTAATGCCGACTTGTCTAGTTTTCCCATATGATAGTAGCCCACGATACAGGTGTGTGTCCTCAATTGGATTTTTATTGCCGGAGAATATGCCTTTTTTTGTGTCTTACGCACTACATGTGTGATTGTGCCCCACAGAAAATGGTGATTATAGTGGTTATAGTGCTGGTGGTGCTCGCACTCATAGCCCTGATAATTGGGCTCTCAGTGGGACTGACAGTGAAACGTAACACGTGAAGGGTGAGTAAGAACCCGTGGTGTTTGGGGTGTTCTCGGGTGTAGCGATGTAGCTGGATGCCTCGCTGCGTCGTCATAACGGTTTTAGTTCTCTTGGCTGTGGTTCTGGATGCATTTCTCCCTGCCGTGGTTCCTAAGCGCTGCGTTGTTTCTCCTCTCTCTCCTGGGTTTCCTGTGGGGGGGCACCAAACTTATGTTCCTGGTGGGATTGTGTCTTCTGGTTCTGCCACATGCAAGAAGTCTCCTCTGAAGTCTGTTTCAGGGGTTTCTGCATACTTCTGTCCTCCTGTCTGTGAACTGAGCCTGTTCCATGCCCGTCCAGCTTAAATAGTTTTTTTTTCTCTCCCCATAGAAAATGATCATACTGGGTGTTTGCGTCGCCGTCCTGCTTGTCATTATCCTGGCCGTCGTTCTGTCACAGACGGTGTGAGAAACCCAGTGCCATTCCTCTCGCGCCCTCCTCCTGCCCAGTGCCTCGATCCCTTCACCTGCCCACCTGCTCGGTTGAAAAGAACTAGAGAACCAGCAAAACAATCCACATCTCCCACTGAAGACACTCCAAGCCCCTGAGAAGGGGAAACGCCTGCAAGATGTCCGGTTGAGGAGTAAACTCTCCATAATCCTGCTTTTGAACTGCATGTAAATAAGGGCAGTGAGTTAAGCCAGGAAGGCAGAACCATCGCTGACATCATTCATAGTTACTGGAAGAACAACCGATATAAACACAGAGTACCGCTTAAAATCACTAAGTGTACACACCCTAAAAGACTATTTTCATGTGACCTTTTGAGGCAGAGGGAAAACCTGCGTATGACACTATGTACACAATATAAACCTTGTCTACACTTTGCGGTGACATCTCGGCCAGATCGTACCCATTACTGGAGTCCGGATCCAGCCAGTTTAAAAAGGGACTCGGAGGAACCAGTGTCTTACTGTTATCTCCTGTTCAGGATAGGAAGTCTCTCCCCACCCATGTGAAGTCTACAGTGCCTTTCATAAGTGTCACCTGATACTTCATATACCCAGTTTTAAAAATCCAGAATGAGTTGTCTTGCCTTCCAAGGAGGTTGAGCTACTAACATTTTAACCTGTTCCTGTTGTGCAATGAATGTTCTGGTGATTTACTCTAAAAATACAAACCTTTTGCTCTGTCAGGTCAGCAGATGCTTTCAGTTTTCAGTTCAATTTCAGAGTGTGTATATAATTAGTTTTCTGGTGTAGTGAGCAAAACGGCTCATTCTTGGTATTTTCCCATCTGGGAAACCGTAGCATGACTGGCGTCTGTGATCAGTTACTGTACAGTAACAGCAGTAACATTTAAAACTGGGAGGTTCATAAATTTTAAGACATTGATTGTTGTATTTGTGATGCCTTTGTTATGGAGATCAGATTTCACTAAATTAATAAAATATATTTTGTATATTTGTGATTTAAATTTGGTTCATAATTTTTTTGGATTCTTTATATGATCATTTTCACTCTAACCAGCATCCTTCAGTGTTTATATCTGCAAAGGTGATGTATTGATAACTATCCTGTAAACAGACTTTACACAGTAATATGCGAATACACAATATGTACACCTGTAATGAAAAGTGAGTTTTTGTTCCAGGGAAACTCGGCCGTGCTTTGGTAGTAACCTGTGTAGGTCACACTTCTGTTCTTTTGTGTTTCACTGTATAGCTGCTGGTTTGTATATATGTACGTATGTAGGCGGCCTGGTGCTTCCTCATTTGAGGCAATACAGTAGCTTTGAAAATAAGGTAAGTTGCGCTTGCTAGTTAATATGCTGAGCATATCGTGCTGCATACTTACGGTAATGATGCTCGGCCCAGTTCCTCTGTGATGCCTTTTCCCTCCACCGGACCTTCCCCAGGTCCTCGAGCCTAGGGGTTTCCAGCCGTCGTGTCGTGGCAAGTGTTACGCCGGACCGCGGAAGTTTGGGGGTTTGTCGGAGAGGTCGGTTAATTTATTTTTAGAAAGTGTATTTTGTCAATTTTTACGACCGCGTTCCTGCGTTCTGTTGGAAACTGAAAAATGGAAACGTTTAAACTATTGTTATAGCTAATCGATTCCCCTCGGCCGGACATAATTCCGGTCCGTGCCATTTCAATACCATGTAAACCGGTTAATACACACAAATGGTTGCGAACCCTAATCCAGCCCCCCCCCGATATATATATATATATATATATATATATATCTATCATAGAGAGATAGAGGGGCCTACTAGCTGGTTAATTTGCTGTAACATTTAAAGCTATTTCAAGGGGAAAAGGCCGATTATCATGTCAGTTTTTTAATATACTGAGATTATTTCTGAGTTAATTACTTTTTTTTAAAAATTAGAATTACTTGGACTACTTGTTTTAATTTTATTTCTGCAAGCAATGGAATGCATTTTTTATATATATTAATCTATGTAGAAGTAAAATTATGAGCGTAATATAGACAGTAACTTTTGCGTCACCAAAAATGTCTCTAAGTGGCCCCATTAAGATGAGCTCATTTTAATATGGTGTTTTGAAAATGAGAACAACGTGAATTATATCACTGTTTAGCATATGAATACCATGGAAATTCCACTACAACATAAATGGTCATCTTCACAATTTTATGCACTTTTGCTGCTGTTGGGGAATTAATTTCAGTGACCCTGCAGTAGAACAAATCTACGCCATTTATTTTCTGCGCCAGATATGTCGTGTGATAGATTTCTTCGACATTTGACATTGTATTCCTTTTCCCGTCTAATTTCTGGCTGTTTCCCACTTTGGGGAGCCGCGGAAGAAGATGATGGTCATGCTGTGTTGTAGGATACGCTACTTATTTGCATTCTGGGTGCAGTTGGGTACAACTACTTCTAAAAGCTGCAGGTGAACAGCTAACCGTGAATGCGTACCTCGATCGCTGTATCATGTTACATATGCATTCCAAAGAAATCTGTTCTATCAGCATGCGACACTGAAATCGCCGGTTTTCTATTGCAGGTACAAAGCAGCCCAAGTCTATTTGCATTCGTACAAATGACGTAGTGACCAGCTCAACGTGCCACCATAAAAGTTGTACAATTTTTGCCACAGACACCTGTTAAAAATGAATACAAAGTCAGGCCACTGTTGATTTCACTTGTTCGGTTGAATACAAATTATATATACCGTTTTTCAGGTTTTGGTTTTCAGGCATATTACTGAAACAATAGAGGTAGTATGTGTCTTTGTGTGTACTCTTTATTTATTAGTGGTGACAGTAATGGCATTATGGTATTCGTATTTCTCATGAGTGTCAATTTGTTTTCCAGTTTGTTGATTGTATGAATTGAACACAGCTGTTCGGCTTACACTGTCAGGAAATATAGCTGGTTATTTTTTTGATCGAAGTTGCAAAACCCATTCATTATTTTCAGTAAGCAGTGAAAGTGCATCCTGACAGATTACTATGCACATTTTAAACAAACGTGTTAACCAGAATCCTCCAATTTGTGTGCTCCTCAAATGGTAAAGCGGAAAATTAAAGATTCTCACTACAGCTCTGACAATGTTTCAAAAACCCAGCAAGAAGGTCTCCTGTTGACGCCCACCTCCTCGAACCCCAAATCTCCCGGACCCATCCCGCCATTGGTTCTCGTCCATCAACTGACCCGTTCATCAACTGACCCACGTGGGTGCGGCCTTACATTTTTTGTTTTCTCTGTCCAATCCCGAGCGGTCATTTCCCTATAAGAGCGACATTCGTACTGTCCAATGAAAACCTGGCCGGCGTACGCAGGCATGTCAGCCATTGGGTGCTACTGTAAGTCGGTCGGGCCTTCCTTGTAGTGTGTGTGTGTTTTGCGACGAGTTGAAAATGGCGGCGTGAGCTAGATCCTACAAACTTTAGCGGATAATAACAAGAAGAACAGCGATTTAAAACCCCTTTTCACGTTTAAGAGAAAGGAGTCTAAGGAGAGCTTAAAACACGCTTTTACCGCGCTTCCCCGAGCGATGTTTAGCGCAACACCCTGCAGTTCTTTTCGACTGATATGGTAGAAAGTTCTTCCAAATTATTACAGCCGTTCAGTTTTATATAGCTATAAATCAAACTTCGACATTTCGCGGTATCGAGACGCTTAAATATTTCGTTATTTGGTTTACGTAGGATACGGCAACTTTTATCTGTATTAATCGGTAGAACCTCAGCCATTATACTGGACACGGGTTGCCGCTTACTAGCTAGCAGGTCCACTTAACATAATATCATCAAATAAAAATATATTTTAAAACTTATTGCTTTCTGACCAGTTAGTCACGTACACACGTCAGATCCCGTTCATAAATTTAGTAGCCCGCCAGCTAAGACAGAACGTAAGCTTTAGCTAGCTTAGCGGGCAAAGCTAATAGCTGCAGCTAAGTGAGCAGGCTACCAGTAGTTGTTTGATTCCACATCCATATCGTTTTATTCTCCTGCAAAAATGTTGCCTTTTAGTGCCGGATAGCTAGCCGACTAGCTGATCACAGATGGTTAGCGTTATTCGTGTTTGTGTCCTCATTAAGACCGTGTT